ATATCTTCTAAAAAGTGTTTTTTCCAAACACCTTCCAATCCTTCTATAAGACCTTTGTCTGCGTATGGGGACTTAAGCAATTTTCTGAGGATCACTGTATTACTGCTAGAGTCATAACTCTTCTCAATCAGTTCCCAGAATGAAGAAGACAAGCCTGACACTGAAATTGCCATGATGGGATTGCTGTCAACAAAGTATTCTCTCTCAAAGGCTGGGTTGTCTTCGTTATTAGGCAAAGCCCAGTGAGCTAAGCATTCAAACATCCTCATTGGATATGGCAAGATAGAAGCAACTGGTGTTCCAGTTTCTACTTCTTCAGCGTCATAAGCAGGAATATCAGGATTGTTGGGAAGGGCCCACCTTGAAAGGCCATCTGCATTCTTATGGACAATACCCTCTCTATGAACAATAGTCATAGATCCTCTCCATTCCTGGATTGCAATTTGCCACCTAAGCATGTGTCTGTTGGGTGTCTTCATATTCAACAAAGATCTTAAAGCATTGCAATCAGTGATCACATCAAATTCACATCCGTCAAGATAATAATAAAGTTTATCCAATGCCCAAACTAGACAAAGGCATTCTAGCTGAGAAGCTCCATACTTTTTCTCAGATTCCTTGAGCTGTCTTGAGATGAAACAGATTGGACCTTCTACAGGTTTATCATCAATTATTTGTACTTGATGTAAAGCAGCTCCTATCCCTTCCATTCAAGCGTCAACATAAAGTTTAAACCTTTCTTTTGGGTCAGGATGAAACAAAAGAGGTGCATTAGTCAAGGCAAATTTAATGGACTCATAAGCTTTTACTCTTTCAGCCGTCATTTCAAAGACTACATTAGGACTACATAATTTGTAAAGACTTGAAGCCATAGCTCCAAAGTCTTTGATGTGCAGTCTGTAGTAACCCGCAAAACCAAGGAACATTTGCATTTCTTTAGTATTTTGCGGTGTAAGCTTTAGTAAGACCGCAGCAACTCTATGCTTATCTATTCCTAAAGATAGACTATTAACAATATTACCTAAGGCTTTGAGTTCTTGGAATGCAAACTGGCACTTTGACAAAGATATCTTCATATTCATCTTGATAATCTTTTGAAGAATGATTTCTAAGCGTGACAAATGATCTTCCCAGTTATCCGAAAAAATTATAATGTCATCTATGTATATAATGGGTCTTAGTCAAACGACTCCCAAATATTTGGGACGTCGCTAAGACCCCCAGCGGACGGGCCAGAGCTGATTTCAACTCATGCGAAAAATTCAGTGTCCATCATACGCTGAAAATGTGAAGGGGCATTTTCAATACCAAAAGGCATCCTAAGGTACTCAAAAATGCCTAAGTGACAAACAATCCTGAGGAATGTCTACTGTCCTTGTGATCACATT